CGGCTGGATCACAAATATTTATTAGTTGCTTCTTCTGTGCCAGAAAAAGGGGATAGAATGATCAATAAGACAGATGCAGTCCCAGCTCTGGGGAGGCTCTAACCTAGTGTGAAATAGCAAAATGAAATATATATTGTGTTCACATTAATAGTATAACTCCGATGTTAGCTCCATATATGGAGCAAGGACCAATGATTCTTCTCATTCATGCTAAAGAAGTCACTTGCCCATAAGCATGTGTTTTGCTGAAAAAGAGGGATCTTATCTCACAGGAAACACCATTTCACTGCAAACCTCTGTACTCACTATATCTTCCGGAGTTTCTCTCAGCCACACAGCCACAAGTTTCCTTTCTCTTCTAACTCTTCTCCAAATCTCTCTAGCTCATCTTCCATTTCCAGATCTTCCCTTGAGTCCCTTATCTGCTTTCTTATGTGGAACAAATTAATTCTGTCTGAGCCCTTTCCAACTTATAGATAGCTACAATTAAAAACTGACTTAGATAGCAAGACATCCACCAATTATCAGAAATTTCTCTCATCAGAAGGCAGGGGACTATTTACATAATAATTTTTATGTTCTTCACCTATGTACATTTCTCTACTCACTGCAGTGTCTTCCTCACCCCGCCCACTGCAGTGTCTACCTCTTTGTAGTCTTTCCAATTCATTTGAGAGTTACCAATGGATATTTCCCATGTACTCACGAAGTGCCGTCAGTCGCCAGGTGATATCCTCCATCTTCTTGTTTTTCTGTTTTAGCACTGTGTGGTTATTTCCATCTGTGTGGATACCTTTGATGCCTACATAGTTGAGTGAAGGGGTCTTGGCTCTGCCTGCAGGGATTATAGCCAAGTGCTTCCTTTTAGACATAGCTACAACTGCCATAGCCCTACTGATATTCTTGAACCCTGAAATTGCCAGAGCAGAGCCATCAAATATGGTGCCCTTAAAATATAGAATGTGTTTCAAGAATGTATCTACAGAATATGTGCTGAATGACATTGTGTTCAGTATACAAGGGAGGAGAATGCTTTCTTGTCCCTTTTGTCATTATAGGGGGTCTATGTGAATACTAGAGGAGTACTTGATGGTGTTTTTGAGGAATAAACTATTATTTAATGTTATTTTAGAGCAATATATATAACAGGTGATATGGCACAGGACTAAACATAGAGAATTCATTCTAAGTATAACCTGAACAATCAGGTTAGATGTTTGTTAGTAGATGGGAAAACCATACTGGTGCATCTTTGCTTAACATTAGCTCTGTTATAAAAGATCATAACATGAATCCATGAAGGCCATGGCTAAGAGGAGGAGAAAACCCATCTTAGTTATAGATGCCGTGTTGTTCCTGTCCCCTAAATTTAAGAAATGTTTTCTCCCTATTTCCTAATACTGAGGTATTGCTGGAGGCATTATAGCTCAGTGGGTTAGGAATGTGGGCCCCAGATTTAGATGGATTGAGGATCAAATTCCTGCTCTGCTACATAAGAGATCATCGATCTTGGGTAATTCACCTCTGTGTGCCACAGTTTTTCTCATCTGCAAAACAGAAATGATATACAATTATGGGGGTGCTGTAAATGTTAAATGAGGAAATTAATTTGTTTTGGGTTAGAAAATGTTATGCATTATTATTGTACCATGTTCTTCTATCTAACTCATTCTTTAGAATAAATTTTGTTTCACCCCGATTCTAGGCAGACTCACCCGACAAAATGCAACAGATGTGGCCAGTTATATAGTGGTCAGATACTTAGTAATTCAATTAGCTCAATTCACTCATTCATTTGTTCTCTCATTCCTTCAACCAAAGTGCATAGCATAGTAAGTGCTGGGAAATCAGTGATGAAAGAGCAGATTACTTTATGAGCTCACAGCTAGAGGGGGAGATAGACCAAAAAAGAAATAATTAGAAAAGCAGTGTGAGAAGTACCATTATGGAGATATGAAAAGAAGGTTATTGAAACACATCAGAGAGAGTCACTTTTTGGGCCTGGAGAAATTAAGAAAACTTCACAAAAGAAGTAACAAAGACTTGTTGTTAGGAGAGATTTAGGGCTATCAGGTTCCCATATAAATGGTGTTCCCTGTCTCACTGGAAATTTCTGGATGAGGCTAATGTTTACTAGGATTATTGTAGATAAGAGATCAGACACTTAAAGCATAAACCTCCCTATTCCAGAGCTCTAGTAATGCAAAAATAAATAAATAAATAATACAAAGATACAGAGCTTTCAAGATCAAGCTGCCTGAGTATTCAACTGAATACAATTATTTAGTTCTTTTGAATTTTTTTTTTTTTACCTTTTTGGAGGTGTGGCAGAGCAGTTTTTTTTTTTTAAATATGGCCTGTGTTTCAAATTCCTTCCTAAATTCTGAAGTCTCCTAACCTGCAACATTTCTGAATAGTCAGCAACAACGACCCACCGTATTGCTGTTGGTTAGGTTCAGGTCCTTGGAAGCTTATGCTCTTTAGCATGTCACGAGGAGCCTCAAATGCACCCAGTGTCTCCTCAGCTGAAGTCCTAAAACATATGAGTTCATTGTACATGTCCCTGTGTTTTCCAGCTGCTTAAAATTCATCTTGAGACTTTTTTTTTTTCCAGATTGACATTAGTACTTTCAGTGTCATGTTTTTTTGTTTCTTTGTTTTTCTGGAAAAGAAATAAATCAGTTCCTTTTACTGTCTCTCTGTCCCCTCCCCCTTTTTTTAGTACTTGTATTTCAGGCTTCCTTTCTTAGTTGTCTGCTTTTCCCTCAGGAAATTGTGAATTCCTTCATTTCATTTGTTCAGATTGGAAAAATATATGAACAAGCACATGTAGATTCACACACACACACAAACACACACACACCCCACACGGAGGAACAGATTTTTAAATTTTGGCTGTTATAAAACACAGAAACACTTTAATAGAAACCTCACTACTTTTGTGTCTTCTGCTGATTTTCAGCTATATTTAGTTTTTAACGAATCACTTAAGGGGTTGGTTTTGTACTCTCTTCTTTCCAGGAATAATTTTCAAAGCAAGCAATGTTGGAAAATGTTCTTAGACAATCTGTGCTTTGCCAGTTTACTTCATCCTTTTGTAGGCCTTTAAAAACTCTATTGCATGGGTTACCTGTCACTCCTGTTTGTTTCTTGGGTACAGAGGACAGATTAAATCACTTGGGTGGTATAAACTGGCTTTTAATCAGTTGTTTTACTTCTCAATACCATTACTTAGTCTGCTCTAGGACTGTGAATCACTGCAGCTGGAGCCCTTTTGGAAGCCTTTTGGCTGGCTTGGAGGTTAGAAGGACAGGCTTGGAATCAGTTGGCCAGAGTTTACACATTGGCACCATTCCTAGCTAGCTATGTGAATTGTGACCACTTCGCCTTTCTGTGACTCAGTTTTCCCATCAATAAAATGGGATTAAACATATTATCCATGTTTCAGGTTCATTGGAATAATTAAATGAGATCATGTGCAAGGAGTACGTGCACAGACCTGGAAAATATTAAACCCTTATTAAATGCCTTTTTTTTTTTTTATTGCACATGAGTGACAAGTCAGCCAACAGGAGGAAGCTGCAGAGACAATTCAAGTACTTTATTGCTATGTTTGGTATTATTTGCTTCAATTTCTGTCAGATCAGAAATTTGTTATTTGGTATGGAAAAGACTGATAAATTTCGGAACAATTTTTTTGTCCCAAGGAAATCACATTTTTTTCTGGAATTTGTTTTGCCCTTTCCTCTAACATTTCCCTACACACCAATCTCCAACCTTATTGCCCTTTACCCACTGACCTGTACCCCGAGGACACAAGAGTCAACATCTGTGACTTCTGTTTTTATATCATGACTGCAGTTGAGAAGCTCTATTCCTGAAAATCCCTCCCAGTTCTTGATGAAAGCCTCTGCTCATAATTCATGTTTTCTGCACATACTTAGTAAAGATCTCAGTGCCATAACCTTAATTCTATAATTATCACCTATTCTTTATGTTTTACTGAACCTTTTGTTCAAATGTTTTCACCCTACCTGTGAGAAATTACCTTCCGATAATTTTTGTTTCTTATTTAATAGAAGGAGTGATTTCTCCCGTACAGCTCTTTGCTGGCCCATTGACACACCTGATGTATGTTTATTCTCAGATAATGTTCTTGTGCAGCCCCAGGAGACTTTATGGGGAACTTCCTTAGCAGGGTTAAAGATAGCCACAGCAACACGAAAGAGGTCCTTGTGAAATCCATGATTAGGATGTACCACAGGAATTAATAATTCTCTGGCCACTGTCTTAAATTGTAACCACACTGTTTTTGTAAGAAACTTGCTCAATTTATATACATAGAGCACAGAGAGCTATATTCTGATCAGGGGACCAGTTTCATTTAAAATCCTTATCTCAGAAAGTACTTAGCTTATTCTGCTTAATATGCACATGCTGTCTATATTCCTTTGAGTGACAAGTTGTGAAATTTTTTTTTGCTAATTTGACCCTCCCTGACAATTTTCTCCAACTCCTTAAAGTCTAAGTGAATACCATGAGTGAGAGAAAACCATCTCTAAAAATGGTTTTTAATATCTTTTTCCCAGAGTCAAGAATAATTTTTTAAAAAATTAATATTTATACAGATTTATCATTCACTATCAAAAATTATTTTACTGGACACCATGCCAATTTCTTCTTAGAGTTCCCCAATTAAATAGTAACTTTAAAAACATACTGCTAGTTTGCTAGGTTTTAGTAGGTCAGCATGCACAGCAAGAGTGTATTAAGGTGGACTGCTCTATTGATTTGCCCTGAATCTGCTAAAGGCTGGAGGCAATTGTCTGCGGAAGGGGCGGGAGGGCCATACATGATCGAGGTCATGCGCATCTAGCCAATTTGTAAGACGATCCGCTGCTCCAAGCCTTCAGCAATCCTTAGCATAGGGGCACACTCATGCATTCCTGTCAAGTCATCTTGTGAAAGGCTGCCTGCTTCCAGCTTGGCTTGGATGTGCAACCTTAATAAAACTCACTGAGGTCTGGGAGAAAATAGCAGATCTGCTGCAGATAGGGTAGGGGAAAGGGTCTAGAATATGTACACGCAGCTGACTCAGGCAGGCTCCACGCTGAACGGTTACACAGAGAGGAAACAATAAATCTCAGCTACTATGCAATAAATATCTCAAGTTTTAACTAAGGAAACTACCATTACAGTGAAATAAAAAAAAAAATAACATTTTAGAACAAAGCTAACAAATGGCTAGTTTTCTGTGATTCTTCTTCAAAAGCTTTCTTTGAGGGGGAAAAAGTCAAACAAACAAGCAGTTTTACCTAAAATAAAAACTAGTTTAAAGGTCAGAAGAAAGGAGCAAGTTTTGCGAGAGGCACGGAAAGAGATTGCTGGCAGTACAATGACAGTTTTCCTTTCCTTTGCTTTCCTCGCTGCCATTCTGACTCACATAGGGTGCAGCAACCAGCGCCGAGGTCCAGAAAACGGTGGGAGAAGATATAACCGGATTCAACATGGGCAGTGTGCCTACACTTTCATTCTTCCAGAACACGACGGGAACTGTCGTGAGAGTACGACAGACCAGTACAACACAAATGCTCTGCAGAGAGATGCTCCACACGTGGAACCGGATTTCTCTTCCCAGAAACTTCAACATCTGGAGCATGTGATGGAAAATTATACTCAGTGGCTGCAAAAAGTAAGTGATTGCTTTCAGTTTCTAATTGCAGAGCCTTTTCCGTGCTTGCACTGCAGCTGACTTAGAGTTCCTTAGGGGGGCATTTGTGTGTTTACCTTTTGCTCCTGGGGGCAGTGTTTGCAAATCCAAGCCTGTTCTCTCTCTGTGACTTCATGGGTGAGCCAAGGTTTTCAGGCTTGTGCAAGCCTCTGAAGGTGTGGTGGCAACCCATTTATGTGCCTAGCAATGGCACATTTTATGACATTTTTGGTTTCCTCTTACTTAAAATTGAGCTTGATTTTTCTGACTGTCAAAGCCCAACTTAGAAAAGCGCGTATGTCTTGAGACCATTGGTGAAAAAAGAAAATAATGACAATACTGATTTAGGATCAGATAGATTTTACACCAGGAAATTTTCTGCAGCTAGGGTGAGAAATCATCACCAAATACTTATTTTTTCAACCTCTAGTACAGTTAATATGAAATGGGAGTATATATAAAGTATGATATTTGATTGGAGAAATTGTATATGTATATAAAAGCAACTTAATTTTAGCAAGTAGCAGAATAGTGGAGGACAGATTTCTGTCATATTTTTTCTGTCCTTGAGGAAAAAAAAAAATCAGGAAGGTAAATTTTAATGTGAACTTTTCAGGAAGAGGTTGTTTGCCCAGTGTGGAAGGAGAGATTGAGCTGGTGGTTGCTGTTGCCAAAGACATGCACCTGCAGATTTGAGCTGGGCAAAACATGGGCTTTGCTATCTTCCTGAAATACCTCCTTTTTCAGGACATTGTAGTTACCAACAGTGTCATGTGGGAGTCTAAGTATCGAGATGAATGTTAATGTCGAGTATGCAGTTAATCCCCATTTATACAATTCAAAATGAGCATTTTATTCAGTTTTTCTCTATAAATCATTTAAAAGTTTTTGTTGAAAATGTCTATTAGAATATGAACACACTTTCTGCAGTTCCTTCTTTCTTTGCTGTCTGTTTAGTTGAGTAACAGGTAAACAACAGATAAGTGTATTCAACTACGTCTGTGGAAGAGTGGCAATGTCACATTTGTGAAAATTCTTCTCTCCCACGTATCTTTGCTAAAAATTCATTTGGTGCATATAGGTAGGAACGTAGTCGGTCCAGTCTCCTTTAAGTTAGTCTGTTAACAGAGCAAACCCTTCAAGAAAATAAGGAGAGGACAAATGCTCTATTTTTTTTTTCCCCTGTGTTGTCACGCTCACTTCCAGCACTGCCTGCTCAATCATGCCAAGTAACAGTTATTCTACTTTTGTCCGCTAGGGACTGAACTAAGATCACTGATATTTTATTTGACAAGTTAACTGAAACTCCTTAGATTCAGAGTTTCTAAACCTGGAATTGTAGTTAATCTTGCTATTGTAGACTACAGGTGAAAAAGATCAATAGGGGCAAAAGAATAGAAAGCAAACGGAATCCTGAAGCCGTTTGATAATTATAGTTTAAATTTCAGGCACTAATTATAGCAGCAGTTTATAATAGGATATCTGTTTTTTTTCTTTGGCAAAATTTATTTTCACAGTAAACAAATTAATTTGGTTAAACAGTTTTTTACTCTTCTCAATATACCATCCATATAGTTTTTAATGAGATTTCAATCGTAAATTAGTCTGAGTTCTTTGAAGGGGCTGGGGAGGGAAATTTAGTCCCAAATTGTCCTGAATGAGCTATTCTACCAAAAATGTAATATTTTGTTTACTTAAAACATATAGTTAAAATGGTGACTCAAGCATAGTAATGCATATTTTTTTGTTGCTGTGCAATTATTCAGCAGTGATAGGGTAAATACATGATTCTGTTTGGCTTATGTCATACACATGTTTCATATGTTAATTTATTGTGTGAAATAAATTTGATTTTTGTTTACATTGTTCTTGGTCAATGATTATGGCATAGTTTTCAGATTATAGCCAAGCATAACTATGCAAATGTTCTTTGGTTACATTGACCCTTGCTAACATGATTCTAGCTGGTTATATGCTGAAAATGTCCCTGTTGGTCTGAGTCAGAGCAGTTTGGCTTGACTATTGTCTGTTTAAATTTGCATATCTTTTGTCATTGTTAATGCGATTGGTAGGAGGATCAAGAAAAGAAATAGATTCTTTCAGCAAAGAATTTACTAAAAAGCTCTCCCAAGTTTCCTTTAATTAGAGGTTTTTTTTTTTTTTACTTTAGGTTCTAAATTTCTTGTAATTTATTTATTTTGATAATTCAAATGGAAATCTTTTTACTGTAACTATTTTGTATGCTTACTGCTGCAAATTGTACTACTTCTATTTTAATTCCGAATAGTTGTGTTAGGATAAAAAGCAATGCAATGCAGAAACTGAGGCTATCAGTGTAAATGCAATTAATTCATCCATTCAGCAAAATAATTAATCAAAGCATGGTGATTATTATGCAGCTCATGGCATCACTATCAGGAAAGTTTTTGATGCAGGATGTGTGTTATCAATGCTAGATGCTGCTAGATGATAGTTTATGTTAATCTGATACCTTCCATGAAGTTTGGTAAACTGGATTCTTTTACAAATAATCTTCACAAGACACTGACTTCACTAAAAGTTACCTTATGAGACTTAACACTCTCGAATCTCATTTCTCAACTTTTCTGGTCTTGCAACTAAATAAGAAGAGAAGTAAGGTGTGCAAAGGAACAGATGATGTGTTGGCCACCGTAAGTGTTGAAATTATTATGGAACTTGTCTTTTGATATGATGGATTTCATTCAAGGAGATCAACTTTGCATAGTAACCTGTCAGTTAACACCAATTGTGAGTTAGGTTGATAGCATTATTCTCACTTATCAGATGGGGAAGAGCAATATTAATAATATGCTCAAAAATCACCATTTAATTAGGTAGAACACCTGGGCTGTATGTCTACATTTGACTCTCTTCAATCATATAGTTCTTTTCAGAATTTTTAGTAAATCAAACCCAATACCTGAGAGGGACCAGGTCTTGGGGTAATAACAAGAAATACAAATGGCTTTTGTGTCTTTGCCACTTTCTTGTGATTCCTTTCTACCTTTCTATAACAGAGAAATGTCTAGTGTTTAATGTCTACTTTACATCCCATGCTTCTTGAGTTAATATTTTCTTTCTCCTGTATCCCAGAAATTCAAAAATATGTATATTTAAATACCCAGATTTAATCATATAAATTCTAGAATTTGAGGCAATGCTTAGAAAGTCTTTTACCTTTGCCAAATGATATCTTTTTGTTGTTGTTGAAAGTATAGAGTCAAAAAACGTGCCTTGTAACAGACAACAAAGGTCTATCTACTGTAAATATTTTACGCTAGCTAAAATTGATGAGCTGCTAATTATTAGTAGAAAATGTGTTCTGAATTGCCATCCAGAATATTCTAAAGGATGAAAAATTTTTACTTGAAACACTTGGCTAAATGTTTCTATTGACAGCATTTTTTGACTAACATCCTTTACTTATATTCTTTGTTTCAGAGAATTATGATTATCTTTTTACAATTCATGTATACAGATATTAACCTATATTAATATCCACTAGAGTGTGACCTCCATGAGACCAGTGACCTTGTGTGTTTGTCTGTTGCCATATGCCCAGAGCCTTAAGCAGTATATAGTCCATAGCAGATAGACAATAAATATCTGTTGAATGAACAAATAGATGCATTGTCTACATGTTACAGTCTATACTTTACCATGTACTATTAACAGTTTGTTTTGGATATACAATTTACCTCCCTAAATAGATTGTGTGTTATCATTTAGGTAAGTACTACATCCTATAATTACTTTTGTCCTGATATTAATCAAAACGATATTGGGTCTAAAGTAGGTGGTTGTTAATTATCCAAATTGTACTTAGCCAGTGATCTAGGATCTCAAACTTCTGCATTCACTCTATCTTGTCCATTTAATTATTCTTTAAGAGTCAGCTTTGTTGTCAGTTTTTCTAGGAAATATACCTGCATTCCACTTTCCCTCCCAGGTTGAGCTCTCCAGTGTTACAGTAAAGTTGCATGTATCATGTTTGCACTGCACTTCCATGTTATGTGGTTATTGTCATTTTCATTATTTGTTTTGAGACCTGTTTTTCTACTCAGACTATGAGTCCCCTCGAGTGTAGTGAATGTTTCTTTATCCATATGTATCTGAAATGTTTATTGAGTGTTTGAACAATATCTCTGTTATCATCATAATATAACAATAAAAGACATCAGGTGCTCAACTGTGTGGTGCTGGGATAAAATAATGAAAATTAGGAGACCTTGTAACTGCTTTTAGATGCTAAACTTTGCTTGAATCTTTTGTGCTAGATTACTTGAGGGTCAGCTAGACGTTCCTTTGGGAGGAAAAATAATTTTATACTTCCAGGCCAGTAGGTAACAATTTACCGCAAGTAATAATGACACATATTTACATATAATATGTGCATATGTGTGAATATAAGTAACTGGAAATGATTTCCCATCCGTGCATTGTTTTGGGGGATGGTGATCATGCAAAATAAAGCAGAGAGGATGTTCTATGTTTTATTTGCACATATTGGGATGAGAAGGCTTCCTGAATGTGTGAAAAGAGCAGACAATTGATAAGTGTTTTTAAAAATTTGTCACTAGAAGAAAATATGCATATATGATTTATACACAGAGGTAGAAAAATATGGCAGTTGCCAAGAAAGGTGAAAGGAATAATTGCCTTTTAAATCCAGTTGTAGAAATGTCCCTACCAAGTTCATTTGAGATTAACCCTTGGTTTTCAAGCCAAATAGGAACTCTTTAGTTAATACCCCTGTATTAACTTGTCAATGAATAGTTAGGTGTTATTTTTTGCTTGTTATATTTTAGAATCAAACGGCAGAATAACCTTTCTGGGCCCTAGAAGTTGGGCAGTTGGAGCTATAACACTCTTTTGGATTTCTCTTTAAGAAGGAGCAAGCCTCTTCCCAAACGGTCTACATTGGCAGATCAGGGCAAGTAGGCCCTTTGCTATGGGTGATT